ATTATCCGGATGTTTGGACGTTTAATTGTATCTACTATTTCTCGTAGATTATTCTCAAATTTTTGGGCCATTTTCTCAGTCTTCATGTTGGATTTTTCTAGGTCAGCAATTTTCTCTTCTACATCTAAGATTCTATTTTCTGTATGATCTAGTCTGCTTTTAATACTTTCAAGGGAAATTTTGACTTCTTGTATTGTAGCCTTCATCTTTAACAGTTCCATCTGATTCTTTTGTGATGTGTGAAATTCCTCTTTTAGATCTTGCATGAATTTCCTCACCTCCTGGAACTCTTCAACTCCTTTCTCCTTCCTCTTCAGTAGTTCCTTGTCTCTCTTCTCTTCCATCTCTGTAAGCTTTGCCATTATGAATGTTCTGAATTCTTTATCAGACATTTCCATGACTTCCATTGAACTGTGTGTGGATGAAGAGAAGTTATCCTTTTCCCTTGGAGGAGAGGTATTTTCTGCTTCCCCATATTTCTTGTGGTCCTGCAGCGATTTCTAGTCATCTCGTGGATGGTTGATTTCGTTCCAAACTTGGAAGTTCAATCTGAGGGTTGAGGAGTGTGTAGAAAAAGAAACAGAGAGAGGGAAACAAAAGCAACACCAGAAAAAAAAAAAAAAAGGACAACAAACAAAGAAAAAGAGAAAAAATGAAGAGAAAAACCTTTAAGAAAAACTAAAGGAAGAAAAAAGAAAAATTAATATTCAAAAAATTAAAAAAAAAACAAATTAGAAAACTGAGCGCCGCGCAACATGGCTCGCAGGAGCCATGGAGCTGGTTCTTGAAGAAGGGCTGTTCTGTTCCCTTCCCCCTCTCCTGGGTGGGGAATGGGAGAGGGAATTATTAACAAGATAAAGGGCTAGGCGGGGCGCAAAGGGCCCGCAAAGAGGCACCTTAAACAAAATTCTAAAAAGCAAAAATTAAAAAATAAAAAGAGAGAGGAGTCAGAGACAGAGACAGAGGTAGAGAGAGACAAAGACATATACAGAGAGAGGAGGTCTGAGAGGAGTCTTCCTACCACGCAAGTTTTCTATACTGGAGGCTGAATTATCAGTGGGACCTCTTCATTCCTCCGTTTCCCCCAAAATGGCTAGATCGCAGGAGCCATGGAGCTGGTTCTTGCAGAAGGGCTGTTCTCGACCATATAACTCGAAAACGAATTCATTTTCTTAATCCTGGGCAAGTACAGAGATTTCTAAAATTATAGCGTCATGGACACTGTCCGGCACAGCATAGTCAGCACAGCGGTCAGCACAGTGGCAGGTTCTCCCCAGTGACCACGCAGAAGGAACTCTCATTTTTCAGATATTTTTGATCTGTGGTTAGTTAATCCTGCAGATGTGGAGCTCATGGATATCAAAACCTGACTGCACCATCAAGAACAACGAAAGTATCTTCCATTTGCCTTACATTGGTAACTTGCTTTAAGCTTTATGTGTCTCCAATAATGTGATTAATTAGAATACATTTATACTATATAAATGAGGTGTTCTAGTCAGAAATAGAAAGATTATTGTTTTTCACCTAACTGCCAAGCATAAGACATAGTCATTTTTCACATTACACAAAAGAAAAGAAAAACAAATGCCTTTCAGTTTCGCAAGCACATTACTTGTCATTCCAACTACAGGCAAACCTGAAAAACAAGATCCACTAGAGCACGCTCGTCCTCCAAACTAACTTTACGTGAGGACTGTGTGTAAATAAAATTCTAGACTTTAAGCACTTTACAAATATAACGCTTATGCCATCTAGACAGAATTATTAATTCTTTGATATTCCTCTAGTTTCACAGGTAACAGGCAAAATGACATGCAAAGTACTGAGCATGGAAATGTCAACACTTATTATAACAAGATCAGGTAAAAGAAAATATGTGGGATCATGACAGCTGCTTGTAGAGCATTCAGAAGTTAGAACAACTAGTAAAGTGGACACGGCATTACAGGTTTCTCAAAGAAGAGTAATGTCTTACAATCTTATTTTAAGAAAGCAAAGAGAAATTAAAAGCTAAAATAAGTTTTATTCATTTATTTACAGAGAAGTACTGTCCAGCTTACAGTTGACATGTTCGGATTTTACCTATTGGTTATAGCCTCTGCTATATAATATTAACAGAGGAGCTATGATAGTGAGAGAAAGGAAGGGCTTCTTATTAATAAAACCATTAGAGGGAAAAAAACTTTAAACAAAAACAAAGGGACCAGCAAATGGTATAATGGTTATGTCACGGGACTCCCACGTAGTTGACTGCGGTTTGAGTCCTGGACTTGGTGGCTTAAAACTTGTGCCAGGCATGTGTGTGTGCGTGCCCCAAATACCAAGAGCAGAATGGAGGAGAAGGAATTTAGGAATTAATCCCCCTGGGGGGTAATTTCCTGCTTTCTGTCTCTCTGGCGAATGCACATGCCCTATAACAAAAATCTACTAAAAAGAAAGAAAGAAAGAAAAAGAGAGAGAAAGAAAGATAAAGCACCACCATATTCCATGAAATCACTACTGAACAGCTTTAACAGGAACAGCTGCATTGCAAAGTAGTTACACTTACAGACTGGTCAGGTCCGTCTCCTCCTAGTACCCTGAAGCCAAACCCTGATTCCTGTTTCCGAAGGAAAACATCCAGATCTTTGGTGTTTGGTGCTAAGGACAACCAGAAAATATAAAATGAATTCTCTGATTTATTTGAAGGAGATTAAAACAAGATAAAGTTCAAAATTTACTGTAATGCATACTAATAAGCTATATTCTCAGAACTTCTTGATACGTAGAACTTTACATAAGAACACAACAGGCAGACACATACATTTAGCTATAAATCTTTGTTTTGAGCTCTAAACAAAACCATATCAAAAATGTTTAGAAATATTTACTCCCACCCGCTTCCAAGTATTCAGATTATAATGCCATAAACTTCTATGCTGTCCACTCGATATCACAAATTCAGAATTATACAATTTGAGCTTGGTATTTGATAAGTGCAAATGACCCAAGTTAATACATGGGTAAGGTAGTTTATACCCTAAGAAGAGAGAGCCCATAAATGGTATTCTCTCTACTTTTATGTGTGAGAAAAGCACTCCATATGAACTATTTAGCATAATTGTATAAAATGATACTATTTTAAAGGTAAGTTAACACCTATCACCAGCCCATTTTCTAGGTGGGGAAACTGAGGGTCTCTAACTTGCCCAGTGTCACACAGCAAGGGGCAGAGCTGAGATTAAACCCAGCTCCATTTCCAGGATCCATACAGTCCTGCCCCCAAAGGGCAGGGGGCATTCATCAGAAAAAAAGGTCAAGGAAATCTATTTGAGGACTCAGAGTTTCTCTTTGGTAAATATTCATGTTCTTTACAGGTAAGACGTATTTACCAGAAAGAAAAAAGAGAGAAACATGTCAGGGAACTGCATGAAAAGAAAGATATAGTTTAGGGTAAATTGCTGAGAATATTCTTTAGCTAATACCTTTGCAGTCTCTTTTGATAAATAATTTATTAGAAGCATACATTTTAGAGATTAAAGGAGTCATGGGTTCATCTCATTTATTTATTTCACGGGTGAGGGGTGAGGCCCACTGGCACTGCAGAGTTTACAGCGATATGAAGGCTGTGCCAGGCTGTCATGAGGAGTCTGAAGAAAGATTCTACAGTTACATTAATCTAAATCACTGCTTTGCTATGCTTACACCTGGTTTTCCTCTTTCTAAATATGGCCTGGGATTATCAAGGTAAAGATCTGCAACTGATTAAATAAACATGAAGTTTAATTACATATAACATTTCCACTATAGATATCTTTTCCATGGTAGATTTAGATCTACTACTTAAAAATAAATGAATTCAAGAAAAACTAACCTCCTCAAATCTGCAGTTTTGCTTTGGAAACTATTTCATTACTAAGTAAATGAGTATGAAACGGATTTCCACCTATGCACTCCATCTTCTCACCCCTCAGCTGGACTCCTCTAAGGGTCTGATTCTGGGTTTCTCCCCGGATTGTATGCCCTTCCTCAAATTGCATGTATCTCTGATGCATCCTCCATACTCCTGCCAGGAAAATCTTTCTACAGTATAAGTTCAATAATATTTTCTCTATAGTTAAAAACCATTCCATGGTTCTCTGTTATTTACGTGAACTAACGCAGCTTCCTAGGAAGGCGTAATCAGCCCTCCACAATCTGCTCCTGCCCTCTGGCTTCCTTTACCAATCACGCCTAGCCAACTGAGCTACTCACAGAAGCAGACCGTGCGTGCCAACCCAATGTGCAAATGCTATCCCTTCTGTCTTTGTCTTTTATCTTCTTATAAACACGTCTGCATCTCTGAAGACTTGGCTAAGGCTTTACTTAGTACACAGCTTTACCTGATGCTTCCTAATGTGTTGCAGCACTAATAAAATGGACCATTTCCTACTTTGGATCCCATTTCCTATCTACCACTGCACCTATTAGGCTTATGTGCACTTATCTGGACATTTATGTGATTCGATGTTTGTCTTTTCCATTTAGGTTTAACAACCCTTTTGGGTCCAGGGCCTATGAAGTCTATTTATATCTGGACTCCAATGACCTAATATTGTGTCTGGTAGACAACCGACACTTAATACATGTTTTTTTTTTTTCTTTCTTTTTTTTTTTTTTTTGGAGGGATTTTTTCCTGTC